CTCCCTTTCTTAAAGTCCTTACCCACTTTTTAGATTTAAAAAATTTTTTCAATTACAGTTGACACACAATATTTATTAGTTTCAGATGTGAGTTTTAATCACCTCCCCCTTAACTATTTACCTAGATCAGGGGCCCCCAATCCCCAGGCCATGGACCAGTACCTGTCCATGGCTTGTTAGGAACCAGGCCACACAGCAGGAGGTGAGCAATGGGTGAGCAAGCGAAGCTTCATCTGTATTTACAGCTGCTCCCATTGCTCACATTACTGCCTGAGCTCTGCCTCCTTTTAGATCAGCAGTGGCATTAAATTCTCACAGGAGCATGATCCCTACTGTGAATTGCGCATGTGAGGGACCTAAGTTGTGTGCTCTTTATGAGAATCTAATGCCTGATGATCTGAGGTGGAGCTGAGGCAGTGAGGCTTGCAGCACTAGGGAGTGGCTACAAACACAGGTTATTGTTAGCAGAGAGAGGTTTGACTGCACAGAGATAATAATAAATCAGTTGTTTGCAGACTCATATCAAAACCCTACCAGTGAGTGGCAAGTGACAATGAAGCTGCATCTGGTGGCCGGCTATAAACCCATTCCACAATCTCCCGCCCCCATCAACCACCATCCATGGAAAAAATTGTCTTCCACGAGACCAGTCCTCAGTGCTAGGAAGGTTGGGAACCACTGCTCTAGATGTTTATTTATTGATTGCAGTTCTCTTTGATAACAAAAAGTGAAAAAGAATTTCCAGGCATTCATGTGAACATTTAAGTAAACTAGGAGTATGACTTAAACCATCTATACTCATTTACTTAAGTGTATGTTGCTCCAAAGGCCAGAACATTGAAGAAGGCGGTGCTTAGAAGTACAAAGTCATTGACAAAAGCCAGGACCACAAGTCATGAGCTTTTATCTGAATACTATGATGCTTCCTTGTATTATTTTAAAATCTGGAGTAGACATTGTCTAATTGAATCTCATCTAACCTGTTACAGCAATAGAATAAGAAACTTAGTCATAGATGAGAGTCCATAGGTGTTTACTGAAACATTTTACTTTTGTAGATTTCCCCAAGAACTGACCAAACTGGAAATATACCCCAGAGCAGATGGGCCCAGGCAAAGCCTTGATATCTCATTTACATGTGGGTTGGGAGGTGCTAATAACTTATTTGGATTTCCTTGGAGACCTCTAGAGTAGAATTCTGAGGTTAATTTGGATTGTAAATGAGCAGGGCTAAAGAAAACAGGACCACATTAGCCTTTTGTTCAATTGGCTCTTAATTACTGGCTTTTGTAACCCATCTGGAACTGATATTCCTTTGGATCCTTGGCCCTTATGTTAAAAATGCACGTAATATTGTCTGCCTTATAAAATAATGCTGAGTGATTTGTTATTATACTACCAAAGCAAAGATAAAATTTTTAACTCCATACATTTTGGACTGGGTTGAATTATCTTTGGTTTCTAATATATAGGTGAGGAGAGACATTCACTTCCTCATAGTGATGATCAGTCATAAGGTATGGAACCCGATTCTGTTGTTTAGAAAGGATAGCAGAATTGATTCATGGATGATGGTAATAATGGAAAAACAACTGTGATAAATAATATAGGACACTTGATTCTTACTCCCTGGTTTTGTGAAAATTGGTAATATTGGAAGAGGTAGAAAAAAATAAAAACCTAATGGTTATTATTGATTTCCTAAAGAAAGTGAATATAATACTATAGAGGCACGAGTTTTAGAGAGAGGTGGAAACTATCCCAGCGCTGCTTTTCTGTTACTACTCTGTGTATGTATGGCTTGGTGTCGTCATCTTCACACCGGCAAGGTTACGTTTTCATTGCTTTTGGAACCTCCTTTGGTGTACAGGCAGAACTAAAAAGAGGTGGTGAAATTCTAGGCAACTTTCTTCCTCTTCAGTAGTTCTTAAAAGAATAAGTTCAGTGTTCCCCGCGTTAAAGAGCACTCTGTATGCATTAGCAGTTGTCTGTGGATTCTGATAACCATAGCCCAGGCAGAATCTCATGGTCAGGCATGTTTGAGAAACAACATGTTATCTCTGTCTCGGGCACCAAATGTACTTATCCTTTTGTTGTGTAACTATTTTTGTGTTATCAGTATTTTTTGTAAGTTTGTAAGCTCTCTGATGCTATATGCAGAAAGGGTCAATATTCGCACTTTTCTGGGAAGAGGAGCCATACTTTTCACCCCATGGTAAATAAATAAATATATAAACAAAATGATAACAAATCAGTATCTCAAACTAAGTTAAGGATCATTAGAAAATATACTTTATGCTCCTTGCTAGATTTTAAGCAAACAAACAACAGTTACTATGTTTCTTACTGATGTATTTTCCTTAGCACTTGGCAACAATCCCTTTTGTAAAAACTGTTGCATAGATGCCTTTTAGAATTGTATGAAGCCTGGCCTGATTCCTTGGACCTTGGACCTACCCAACAATAGTAAGTTAGGAACTTGGGTTCCACATTTACCTCATTCAGGCAAAAGGAGTTTGTTTAATAACAATGGCCACTTACTTAACCAGTTTATTAAGTCTCCTTCCTGTTCAAAATTTATTAACTCTAATGAATATAGAATGTAATTGACAGATTCAAATTATCTAGTTAATTATGAAGTAAAAGAAAATGAAAATATCCCTCCAAGTTATGATCAAAAGTGGTTAAGTACCTGGCAAAGCTAAATGGTCCATAATTCAGCTTTTTTACAAAGGTTCCTTCAAGTGGTGATTTCCACATTAAAAAAAAAAAAAATGAATGCTGAAAGGAAAAGTGTACAGAGCCTTTGTGATGAAGATGTGACTCTTGCCCCTAAAGAGAATTTAAATGAGAAAAATAAATAAATGCATATAAAACATTCAACAACTGATACCATCTCTTTGGTTGGAAGAGAGAAACGGCTCTGCCCATGTTGTCGTATTGTTTGACTCCCCCAAGAATCAGGACCTGAGGCAAACAGGCACAGCATAGGGGATCACAATTGCCCAAAGCCCCTTCAAATGGTATCTCACCAACCTCAGGATAAAATCACCCAAATAAGTAGTATTTTAAGAATTCAGCTAGTCATATTGGCAAAGTAATTAGCAAAGATTAGGGAAGTATGATTACAATGTTAGCAAGCTCTTTTCATTAAGACATATGAAAATTTTATTTAGGTGTAACTGGTGCTTCCAGTGTAGAGGGCAGTATGTATTTAAGGGGATTTTATTTTATTTTATTTTTACTTAAGGGGGTTTTAATGGCTGCAGAGAAAATGTCTACTATTCAACAGGAGGTTTCCTAGATTCATCCCATTGGTTAAAATACGATCAATAATCAGATAGTGAATATAAACAAAGTCAAGATATGTAAGACTATATATTATCATTAATAATTTGATTTTCTAGACCATCCACAAATGCTTGATTGTGTATAAACTGTCATGGGTTCTAATCCCAACAGATGTCCTTTTAAAGCACCTGTTGGAATGAACTCTGCCACTGGCCCTTTAAATGGGATGGAGTTTTAATTTTCCAAAAGTAGTGATGCAGTTGGAATGTGAGAAATGCACATTTGCTGTCCATGTTCCATTCTAGTAAACCGTCTCCCAAATTACTATGTTGATCTCTTGATTGTGTAGTTATTGAGAGAAATCTGCAAATACCATTAGGATTGACCAGTAGTTTTGTTTATAAAGGTTTATTAGAGGAAGTTAATGTCACATAATCTTCCAGTAATGAAAAACAGTGTTGTTTTTACCTTCTCATGAATCTGTCAAGAATTGACTTGTTTCAAAACTAGAACTGTGGTTGTAAACCGGAAAATTTTAAAAGTTCCCTTAGAAAGCTGTTTCACATTTCTCCCAAGTGAAGAATCTAAATTTGTGTTTGGTTATAATAGAGTAACTAACAAGCTATACGGCGTAACTCCAGACATGGCTGCGGATGATTCTATCAGATAATTCATATAAACAAGCTGTGTTAATGTCATTATCTCCAGCGTGTTCATCATGTCTGTCTATAGCGTAATACTGAATCAGGTACCACCTGGCCAAAGGTCATGGGTTACACATAGCAATTCCAATACTTTATTTTTGAGACAGCTGAATTACTCCCTGACCTGACTTTAGTGAGTGGGAGGATCATCTTCATCTTTGTGCCTTCCTGCCCTTTCTAAAAATAGTAGGGCCTTTAACAAGGAGATATTTTAAGCATCTCATATTCACTTGTCTCATGGTGGGAAGCTTATTTTGGCCACTTGCATGTGTCAGATTTGCATGTGTGCATAGTTAGACTTTCGGATCCCAGGCCACACTTTCCCACACCACTTATATAAGAAACTTGCAAACCTAAAGACACTGGGATTACTAGCTGAGAGTCAGTGGGTAAACACAAATGAAGGGAAGACACTTTTTAGGAATGTGAATACGCTTCCAAAACATCCATTTCAGATATTTGCCTATCAGTCCTCAGCTTTTCGGATCTGTTTTCATAAAACCTGGCTGTGATCTCACTTCAGAGACCTCAATGATCTTGCTGCTTTTAGCAAATATTTATAGAAGCCACTGCCAGCCTGTGGATAAGGAAAACTAATGAGAAACTGCCATCCAAAATCTGAACGGCAAAAACAAAACCAAGCAAAACCCAAAACTCCAAAACAAAACCAGAAAAGAACAACTCAAACAATCCGTGCTCACAAGAAGACGCGTAGAAAAATACCAAGATGTAACTTTGATTTGCTAACTGGATTTATCAGTCACATGACTGGCATGCAGTGGGTACTTTGTATTTTTCTCCTTTGAAAAACAAGTACAAAGCTATGTTTTTCGGCACAACTGGGACCAAAAAACTATGAGTGTGAGGAAACACAGACTCTAAAAGCAAGATGGAATTTAAGCAGGTAAACCCTGTTCCACAGTCATGTCATTCCAGTGCAGTTGTACGTGGTACTCGTGTTTGCACCTCTAAGAAATTTCCATTTTTTCGCATCAAAAAATCCAGATATGAAGCTGAAGCTGCTTTCTTCGCCAACCTGAAGCTGTCTGATTTCAACATCATTGACACCCTTGGAGTCGGAGGTTTCGGACGAGTGGAACTGGTAGGTGATTGTTCTTTGAATGCTTTTGAAAGCCTCTCTCTTCCTTTTTCCTTTTTCTCCCATAATAAGATTTCTCTCTTTCCTTTGCTCTCATCTTTAACTAGTGTTGTTCCTAAATGGGTACCAAATAATCTCATATCAATGCGTCGGAGTTTGCAAAGTGGGCTCTATTATGTAGTTGATAAATGAAAAATAAAATAAATACTAATTTACACTTTAGAAAACCACCTTATAGTAAATGAAAAACAAACACATTTACTTAATGAGGAGTCACAAAGTGCTTTTTACCCAGCTGATATTTTAGGATCTTTATTTGCTTCCATAGCTCTAAACAGTGCTCACTAATATAATTATGCAGCCTATCTACAATCACAATAATTAAAATGTAAATTTAAATATACATAAAGAGAAATGAGATATATACACATAACTGTATATGTATAATTAATGATCCTTACTACTGCTTTAAAAAAAAATCAAGGAAATGGTTTTATAGTACTAATTCTGTGATTCTGTAGTTGCAAGCACCTATTTGGTTTATAAGACCTATATATATTTAACCATATTAGATAATAGGGCTTTAATATTTTATATAATTTATTTCACACATTTGTATACACACACAGCTAAAGTTTCATGAAGGTAATGAAGAGATTTTGCTACAAGTCTATACATTAAACACATCACATGCATACAATATAAAGCAAATAAAAGCATGCTCTATCATGCTTTTATTTAAAACATAAATTTAAAAGTGACATATTGCAACAAAAATCTGGAAAAAAATGTATTCTACTGACTGTATCGCTGCATTCCAACATTGTGTGAAATAGCCCTATTTGAGCGCAGAGATTAATTTCCACCTCTCTGCTGAAAATGGAGGAGTCCCTGATATCAGACACCAGTACAGTATGTTAGGAACTCCCCGAGACTGTGTACAGTGGAGTAAACAGTTACTGTTGCCACAGGGGACCAGAGAAATCCCCTTCCATATAAGTATATTTGACCCAGTACTATTTTTGACATTTGTCCATTTGAGCAGCATTTGGGACTTCTGACTTTGACAGGAGTGAAAAAGATGTTATTTACTTAAATATCAGACAAGAAGGTTTAGATCCATAACATGTTCCACTGAATTTGCATTACCTGTCCATTAACACTGGTTGGAGATACTATAGGAGTCCAACATCTGACTCGACTTCTGGCTTCACCTGTGCCTCTGAGGATCTAAGCATTTTTAGTTACAGGAGTAAAAATCAAGTAAAGGCCTAGAAAAACCTCTTGCTCTTTTTGAGTCCAGCCAATTAATGTAGTCTTAGATTTATTTCTCAAGAAATTTTAATTTTGTGTTAACTGTTCATATAGTGGATGAAGATTTATTAACAGTTTCGTACATGAACAGCTTTGCATGGAGGCGGGGGGGCGGGGGTGTTGGTAGATATGAACAGGATAAGGGAAGAGCTCCTTGCCCGGAACCACATAGTGTCTAGTGTGTTTATTGACATAGTTGTATGTTTCTGAACCCCTCTCTGAATGAAGCAGTGGAAAAGACACAATTGCTTAGAGACTAGTTTTGTGACTGTTTTAGTTTCCTAAATATTTTTTAAGCCCTATGGACAATAAAATTGCTGTCTTAGGTGACAAAAAAAAAACAAAACAAAAACCAACATTACAACTTTGTGGACTCTTAGAGGTCTGAGAACTTCAAGTTGAGAACCTTCAAGGTACCAATGAGACGTTTTATGAAATACAGTATAGGAATTTTCTTAGGATTTTTGAAATATTGATAACTGCTCACAGACACCAAGACCATTTCAAGCAGAACAATTATATGCCAAGCTGATAATGTAAAAATTTTAGAAAATTTCCTTAAAAATATATGAGGAGGCACAAGCAACTAACGACAGAATTAGGGAAGGTTCAATGTAGACATTCAAAAAATAATGCAGTTTAAAAAGAAAATATATGTGTGTGTATGTGTTTTGTGGTTGTGTGCCTGAGCATATACATATTTATGCATAATCTCTGTCCCAGGAAAGATAGTCAAAGTTAGATCTGTCTAATTTTTCTTCTCATGGATATTTTATTTTACTTTTACACAGATGTTTATAAACATGAAAATCATAACCTGAAGAATTAATATGTTAAAGTTATTGCCCAGTCTGCAAACACTTTAGGTACATTGATGAATGATAAATCCATAATAGATCATTACATACATTAGAGGAAGAGAGACATGTCCTTAACCTCTGAAGGGATGTCATCTTGTGATGAAGTGATATAATCCTGCATTTCCCAAAACTCACCATGAGATAATCAGAATACCCAGATTTTCCTCACTATTCAGTGCAGACCAGCCATTTAACCAATCACTGCTCCCTTAGAATCCAGCACTCCCAGTTCTTACCACTTACCGGCTGCCTGATAATTACTGGGTATAAAAAAATGTCCTTTGCAATTGTTCATTTTTTTACATGTATTCAATGATTCCTAATTGGGAGTTTAGCCTCCACACTTTGACTATAGTTACATATACTGCTATCATAGCACATAGTGAGTCACCATGAAGGCAGTGGTGACTACCCAGAAAGCAGTATCGTGCTTTCAGAACAGGGGCCACAATGTTTATAGTTAGAAGGAGGATCTAGGCAGAGCCCAGTTCTATTGTGATTATAGAATTTTTCTATTCATGCTCTCTGAGAGTGACACATGCAAGATAATTTTATCAATATTATAGAGTGCTATTTTAAGCCATAGAACATTCACATGGACTCATTTCACATATGTATACACAGTGCTGAGCATGTTAATACCAAGTATGTAATACTGATACCTTGAACCTACCAGCCCTTAGTTCAGCAATAATGTTGTTCGGACAAATGGTACTGTAAAAAACCTACAAGTTATACTTTAGTTTTGTAATAGTATTAAAAAAATTATTTTCCAGGAGTGGATTATAAGATGATAAACTCTTGAATTGAGTATGAAGAATTAAGAATTTAATTTCTGAACCCCCTTTCCTATTAGAACTAAGAGTGTAGTTTACCATGATTTTCATCATTTAACATACAGTGATGTTCATGTTATTTTGCATAGTGATATACCCTTCAAAGACTTCTTAGCATTTCTTAATTTTTACCATTTGTGTCAGCTTAAATGAATTTAGATGCAGGAGTATTTTTCAACCAGGGGTATTGCTAAGTAGTTTATTGCCAATTTCTAGAGATGTAAACATAATTCTGGTACAAGCTTAAGTATTTGTCCAATGATGAATTCAGAAACTTAAAGTACACATCTTATATGAATGGAAATTCTGCTCTTAAGCTATTTAGTCTATTTCATAAATACATTTAGCATAATTAGTTTTAACTAGTTTAGTATTAGACATGTCCTATTCACAACCATTTCCTTCAAAGTTTTTTTTACTGCTTTCTTTTCTGTTTTCTGGCATGTATCATATTGTCTGCCCATTTTTTTTTTAAATTTTGAAGAATAGACTTTATAATCCATTCAGTGCTACTTGTTTACAGTATATCTTTCAGAAAGCCACAGTTTTTTTCAACAACAGTTTCAACAAAATAACAGATCTCTTTTTATATATGATTTACTAATTAAAGGCATCTAGCTAAGCTTCTTAATTTCTAAGGTATGACTGTAAATTACAAAGATTGATTTTACAAATCACAAGCAAAACTTAGCTGCATTGCTTTATAGTCGCATTCCTAATTTACTCTACTTTTGCTCTTGTCAGAGAGGAGCTTGCTTTACAGAATAGATTTGCAAAACTCAAACTTTTTAGACTGTCAACACCATGTAATGGTTGTTTTAAATATTAGATATTAAATCTATTTATCCAGCAATCCACTACTCTCTATACAATAACAATATACTTGGATAAAATATAGGAACAAAGATATGGAAGATATAAAATGAAACCACTGCAGGATAATTTATTAATATTCTGATATTAATAAAGATTTTAATAAATTGATATTATTTCCTCACTAAAATGATCAAGCCTTTCATTTGAACCCTGCTTTATAATCTTCAAATTGCTTTCATACCCAGTATATGATTTTTGTCTTGAGAACGACCCTGAGAGGAGAACATGGGGCATGATCTACGTTTTACAGGGGAAAAAGTCAAGAACAAAACATATAAATGACCTAAGAACATGCAGTTATTAAAAGAGCTGTTGTTACTACCCAGAACTACTCATTCTTCAACTAAAAGCTTTTTCTATTATCTGGCTTCAAAAAAACATTTAAATTCTTATCACCACCACCAACATCCACCACCATGAAATCAAACAAATGTTACTTTATTATCACAGGTACACCTTTGTTTTAAAAAAATCTTACAGGATTCAAGAACCTGAGGGAGACATAAACCTAAAAAACACTATGGTTATGTTACTCATCTTTTCTCTGTCAGACTTTCCGAGGCTTTCCCTTCCCTGAGTCTTCTGCTACTCCTATAGCCTGTGGAACAAAAAATCAGAGAGTATAATTTGGTAGTTAAAAGCTAGAGCACTGGACTTAGACTTTGTGAATTCAGGTCTTAACAGCTATGTATGTTTAGTCATTTATGGAAGCCTTCTGAGACTTACTTTCCTCATCTTTAAAATGATATGGATAACAACAGGGTATGTGTCTCACAACGGTGCAAAGATTATATGAGTTAAACCCCCCAAAATGGTACCTCACATGTCATAGGTAAGTATGTATTGTCAATGTTGTTATAATAATTGTTAACATTAAAATATGCTACTGATAACTATCTTTATTGATAATTTTCACCTATCACCAAAGAAAAGGAAGGGAATGGAATACTTGTATTCATTTTTCTCCCATTGCCAGGCTAAGCCCTGAGAGTACAAGCATTCCTCCAATGTAAGGAAGAAACGGAGGTCTTCAAAACACTAAGGCACCCTGCTTTCTGATCTGTCACAAGTAGAGATGAGGAACAGTTTTCAATTTTCCTCACACTGAACCTTCATG